GGGCGGGGGGGGGGGGGGGGGGGGGGGGGGGGGGGGGGGGGGGGGGGGGGGGGGGGGGGGGGGGGGGGGGGGGGGGGGGGGGGGGGTTGGATGAGCTCGCTCAGAAGAGCAGCTAATATGATCCAAGCTAACTCAACATCGGATGAGGGAAGTTCCTACTGAAAACATACTTCCTCGCAAGGCATTGTATTTTTTCTAAGGCAGAGAAAAATGGAAGGTAAGTCCTGCTACATTAGGAAATTAATAATAAAAAACACGTGACCCTAAATTTCAACTTCCCAAGGGAACTTTGGAACTCATGCGTGTAGCCATACTTGACAAATACCTCGATCTTCATCGAATCACTGAGCAGTTTTGCTGTCTTAAATGGTCGTATGCTCCTTATGATCGCCTCCCTTCATCCTGTGGCGATTTCCAGTCCTTTCTCCCATGCTGTCATCGATCATGACAAAGATTCTCTGGTCTTTAGTTGAGAGGAACTGTCTCGGTAACTGAACCGGTCACACGCTTGAGGAAATCGTGAAAGCGTTGCAGCTTGAAAACGGGCATATTTTCAGAGCGTTTTGTATCCAGGTTGCAGATGGGCACTGAATAACTATTGCCACTCAGAAAAACCTTACCAAACAATAGGAGAACATGAATGTTGTAGTCCTGGCATTCGGGAAGGACCAGAACGCAGAGATACTGAAAATGCACAAACTCGCGTTTTACATCAGAAATGCATAATATCCTCACTGTTAGCTGTGTCAAGTCCGACTTTTCATTGGCACTGAGCAACGATGCATTGACGAAAGTAACGCTATTTAGTTCTTTAAGAAAGCTACACGAAAATGATAATTTTCTGATACGTTGTGATATAGGAAAAATGGAAATATGTGAAAATGGAAAAGATCAGAAAATGCAAGCTATTCGCATTTGAACTCTCTGAACACCACTTCCATGCATTTTGTGCATGTATTCGATGTATTTCCATGTGCAACGGGAGTAGGACTGTCACCATCATTGTGCGGGGGGGGCAAGCCAGTCATACTTGACGTATGGGAGACCCTTAAGAAAGAAGAATAAAAGGAGTTCCTCGGACAACATAATTAATTATCCAAGTTTTCCCTGGATCGTGAATGGCATGACCTGCGCATTTATCGGAGAAAACTCCCATCGTTACAGGAAAAGAGAGTTCAGTCTCAGATAGCTTCAAAAGGGTGAAGTCACGATGAAGGCTTCCAAAGACAAGTTCTTGGATTCGTTCCGACTCTCCTCCGTCCTTCTCCTTTTGTCCGGCTGTTTTCCTTTTACTGGAATTTTCGGTTCGGAACTCAAATTCAGGATGCTTTCCTTCCCGGCTTTCTACTCCGTCGTGTTCCTCATTTATCTCGCCATTTGCCCGCTGGTTAGCTTTCCGGTGGTCATGACACCGTTCCGTTCGAGGATGACCGAGGCTGTCTCCGCTATGCAATTATCTGTTTGGAATGTCTATCCCGGCCTCGTCGTCGCCTTCTTCCTCCTTCGGGGTCGGCGAATCGCGACGATCTTGGCCGAGGTCGATGCCATTCCGCGCTGTCGGCGAAGACGCGTCGTGGAGCTCATGTTCCCCCTCGGGATCTTTTGTCTGGTGGCAGCTCTAGACTCCGCTGCTAACACCATGTTGGGTTTAGAGAGCCTCATACCTTCCATTTTACCCAATTCCGGGGTAGAAGTCGTATTCATAGCACTTCTTCTTCGAATCACGTCCTTCATTCGAGGCATCATTCAAGACCTGCAGCAAGTTCAAGGGAAATGGGAAGATTCGTTTCATGAAATGCGGTAAGTTCGTGCAATCCATTTTTTGCACTTGCGTAAGTGGCACCCTGACATCTCGAAGAGAGCCAACCCCCCCCCCATCCCCGATCAGTTCATCAGATGAGATGAGAGGAATGGTAGTTGACATGTATCCAGCTGAGATACATCTTAATAGCCTTTAATTGCATACTTGAGGATCCAATCGGTTTAAGAAAACGCATTTCCTGGCGGTGCATGTTCCGGAATGACAAGAGTGGTATTAGCCGAGGGATTTGAGGTGCACAATAGGTGTCAGCTAGGTGAAACTTCGGCAAATGGGCTGTGCTATGAGAGGGAGGTCATGGCGCGACTATGGAAGTGCTTAGTGTGAAATTATTAGCTTGTTGTGGCAGAGCATATATCTGCAAAATTGAAAATTGGCTTCCCATGGTGCGAAAGCATCACGTCATGAATAAGGGACAACATCTGTTTTGGACAATTACAAACTACGGTCGGTGAGGAGAGGAGAATATCGCTGGAAATGTTACGGGGGCGATGGGAAAGAGAGAGAATAAAGAAAAGGGAAAAGAAGCAAGAAGACGGTGAAAGAGAAATAAATCAGGTAGGGAGGAAGAAAATCAAGGACAAAATGAAGAAATTTAAAAACCCAGAGATAGAGTGTTAATCCTAGCAAAACTCGACAATTCGGATAGCAGCTGCTGGGGACATATCATCACGTCCTGCCAGGGGAAGAATGAAGAGAAATCCTCGAGAATGATGAACACGTGAGAGGCAGATGGAGGCGAACGGCTGAAAGGGGGTGCTCTTTTACATTTGCCCTCTTTCGTGCATCCTTCCCCTGAGATGCATCTTGGGTACGCGTGTGTCGCAGGATTTTGTGGAATTTCGGGGGATCAGGAGTCTCCCGAATTTTGGGGAGACGGGATCTCGATAAACCCGCGAGTTTTGTGAGCTCTAAAAGCCGCGCGAATGTCAATACACCCTAGGGAGATCCTAAATCTGACACAGAAGTTGTCCTTCCCGCTCGTCTCACCGTGGGAAATTCACCTTCCTTGTGCGGACGGCTTGCCGGAGGGCGAAGAGTGCCGCCCGGTTACTGCCAAAGAAAGAGGTTAGCAACACGCTGTGATAGAATCGGGAAACGGAAAATTCAAGGAAGGTCTGAGTGCTAGTCCAGCCATCTATCGACGACCGTTCTCCCCGAATGCCCCAAACGAGCCAGCCGTCGAGGCGCCTAATGGACATTTCGGTGTTCCTGAAAGCTTCGCGACGAAGAAGCGACGCCGGCGAATATGCAGCGTCCATCTGCAAGCGTAAAATGTCGTCACGGGGCACCAGTGCCGCCCATCAGATTAAAGTTCCAACTTCTCTAAGTTAACATAATTCCGTTCGAGAACGCTTCGTGTTTTATTGACTGCTTTCTTGCAACGATGTTTCGACAAATAAAATACAAATTTGTATTTCCCAATAGGAATTTAAAAAAATGCGAACGCAGAGGCAGCAAAACCGAAGACGATTAGGAATTCCAAAGTGAGACGCAATACGATGGAAGCTCCGACCGAAAATACACATCTAAATCCCCACGACACATATCTTTATCTTCAAAGGAATTTTCACGCGCGATTCAAACCATTTGTTGAGGCGTGGAATCCCCGCGATATCTCATTCAGGGAGAGACACGTCCGCATCTGGGAGCTCCTGAACGAAGCGACGGACGTCTTCGGATGGCCGATCCTCCTCGCCGTGGCGATGGCGTTTTGCATGGGCTTCTCCCAGCTCTACTGCATCCTGTGTCACTTACTCGGGGATCATCCGAGGAGATCTTGGCTCATCGTCCTTCGGAGCCTCTCGGTCGTTTCCACGCTCGCCCGTTTCTTCGCCCTTCTCGAGATCGCTCATCGGCTTCTTCGAACCGTGAGTTCGCTCGTTCCGTCTCGAAGCGTCGCTTCGGTTTCATTTCTGCGATTTTCGTGCAGGCGGAGGAATTGAAATCGGAACTGGCGAAGCTCCAGCTTTTCCATCGGGATTCTTCTGGCCTTCGGGATTTATTGATGACGGTGAAGGACCTTCCCGTTCGAATCTCTGTTGCCGGATTTTTTTACCTTCATCGATCTCTCGTCATCTTGGTGATATCGGTTTCTCGTGACCGGAAATTACGCTCGCCGAAACATCTGCCACATATTTGGCCTTTTTTTTTTTGCTTGTTCCAGTTCGCCAACTCCATTCTGACCTATTTGGTGATCCTGCTGCAGTTCGCTGACCCAAAGGATCAAATGAGAAGCGAATCGACGCCGGCTCCTGGAGAACAGACTCCCGGGCGATGAGTGGAAGCCTCAGAGTTTCCTCTGGGGAAATCGCATGGGAAACAGAACATTCGGAATTTCCCGCGAAGTGCTTTTCCTTGCGTTTCTTCTTTCGATGCACGAGTTTCATTGGGTTTTCAGGAATCAAATGACCTATGAACAGGACAATGTCATTCTTGCCGACATTCACCCCAATCACCATATCTACAGTATTCTTGGTCGTATATGAAATAAACATCGATGTCAGTGAACCACGTCAAAAAGGAAAATCCCACTCAAGCGTCATATTCATTTCAGTTGCAAATCCCCTCGTCGCAAATGTCGTCTCTTATACGCTCGGCTACAAGGCGGATCGACCGAATCGGTTTGGGCGAAGGGATCGACCCAGCTAACGTAAACCCTGGCGGTGGATGCCCCGATGACGATGAACGATCATCACGATAATCGCCATGACCATTATCTTTCCAACTTTCCGAGTTTCGGGAGGGGAAGACGGATGAGACACTCGAGATATTCATTGAAGTGTTTGTTCGCTCTGTATGAAAATTTCTAGCTCTGCTAATTAAGCCTCATCGACTCCCATCCTATTGTAATGCAACGAGACACCCCCTACGAATTTGGAGTAGCCTCAGTCCGGACCGATGAGATAATACGACCGTTCATGAGGGAACCTCCTTCTGCAGTTTGCCCTGTCATAACTTCTAACGAGAGGAGAATAATGTATGTCCATTTTGTTGAATTTTTTTTTCCTTCAAATTCCGACAGGTTTTCTGGGTATGATCCAGCTCAAAATGATCAATCTTAAAACGGACTGCTGCAAGAAAAGCTACGGAAAGATGAAAGTTTGCAGGGTCGCAGATATGACCTTTCGTTTCTCTCCATCCTCCCCCCTCCCTGCACCCTCCCTGCCCCCCACAATCCCCAAGATCCCGAAAGGCAGAGGATGACATGACACAGACGAGAACTACAGACACCTTCGAGCAAAAGTCACATAGAATATGGCATTAATCACCCTAAAATACCACCCAGGAGGAGCTCGTGAGTGAAACGTGGAAAAGGAACTCCGAACGGTATCTAAGAATATCCAGAAAAGTTTCGTGGTCATCGGATGCGAGGACGATCGGAACTCGCTCGGAACTCGCCGATGGCCCGATTGACGAAGAGGTAATGGAAGGTAGACGAGGTGCTGTCCGGTGGATGCAGCTGCAGTGCGTGCCGGAAGACGTCCAAGCAGCAGCACACTTATGTGGGTTCGTGCTTCTTTCGTGCAATATTCTCTCTTGATGCCTGGACGCTATTGCTAAGGTCTCATTTGATAACCTCCATCCGCTTCATGTTCACCCTGTACATTGCCATAAAGATTTAAGACAATATGAAAAAGAGCGCCCAATGGATGCCAGTACATACGTCTCCATGGTGACGAAATTACCAACTGTCCATCTGGGAGGAGTGACGAGCTCGCCAAACCTGTCTTGATAGGGACGCTGAAGAGAGAAGAAAGAGGCATGACCAACATAATGAATTATTCGCAGTTTCCTTGAGACGTAAGTGACATGGCCTGCGCAATTATTCCATAGCGAATGGGGAATCAGGTGGGTTTCCCTTTCAGTGAAAATTCACATGGTGAGGAAATGTTCACCTGGCTCTCATTCTTCCCATGATGAAGAATTCCCCCGGGGTTCCACAAGCACTTCATGTATTCTACAAGGTTCGCCTTATCCTGGATCCTGGTGGATGCGAACGGGCATTTCGAAAGGGCCGGGGAATGTCACTTAACTCGAACCTGGCTCAACCGCGACAGTTCGACTTCGTTCCAACATTACTGGTGTGAAAATACGGAATGTCTCCGGGACAATTCCTACATTTCTTCATGCAGAAAAAATAATAAATTACCAGAAAGTATTTCTGAAATTTATTCCATACTCAATGCCTCCTGAATGGGAATTGCAGCCACGAATCCAAATGCTGCAATGCTCAACTTCAATCAATATGTCATCTGCAACACGAGATGCGCTGCCGAGACTGGAAGATCTTACTAAGATCTTCACATTTCTAATTCCATCCATTATGAAAGCCAATCGAGAAAGCTTCTTAAGAGTCTTTCATGAGTGACCTCATCTCTGAATTTATTCCGATTATTCAATCCCGTACCCATAGTTCTCACAAATACTTCAAGTGTTTCGGTCTCCACAACATCATTCGGATTTCCATGAGTGTTACTTACATCCTTAAGTGAAAGAATGATGAAATAGTGGAAAATATAAAGAGGAAATATGTTGCCTCTATCCCCTTCAGATTTTCACGACCGTGAATATATATAAATATAAGTATTACGACACTAGCATTAAAGCTATGCACCGCAGCTCAGCGAATCTAGACAGAAATTATCATTGCAAATAATACTTAAAGGGCAGACCGAGGACACTTACAGTTCCAAGAAGATACTGGGCAGACTCCAAGAGAACAATGAGAACCACCAGGTTGGAAACAAGGCGAAGGCAGAAGAAAATGAGATATCTCAGCTCATCGAGATCATGTATCCAGAGAGTTGAGTACACAAGGCTGTAGGTCTCTGAGAAACTCAAGGAGAAAAGCTCTGCCATCTTGATGAGAATTGGCCATCCGAAAACATCCATCACAGACTGCATCAGCTCCCAAACACGAATGTATCTCTCTCTGCAATCAGAGAAATCACGCAACTGATATTTCCTGAAGGCAAGGGTGGGGTTTTTTCAACTTACCTCATTTCAAGTAGTGAATCTTCAGATTTTTCTTGAGGTTGGTGCAATTCCTGAATGATGTCTCGAATAAAAGACGTGATTCGAAGGAGGAGACCTACGAATATGATGATGACTCCTGATGATGACAGAAGAGATGGGATCTTATATTCAAACTTTATCAGTGTCATTGCGGCAGAGTCCACAATTGCAATGAGACAAAAGATCCCGAGGGGCAATGCTACTTCTAAGACCCGTTTCTGCGGAACACGCGGAAAGGCATCCACTTTCGCGATGATAGTCGCGATTCGCGAACCCCGGACGAGAAAAAAGGCAACGACGATGCCAGAATAGATGACGACGATGTATCCTTGCAAAATTGTGACTACAAATATGAACGAATTCTCTGGAGGGACATTTCCTGGATTGCACACGAGAACGATCGCGATGTAAATGAGGTATAAGATGGAGTAGAAGGCTGGGAAAGACACGATCCGGAACTGGAGTTCCGATCGGAAAATCCCGGAAAAGGGAAAACAGCCAGACAAGAGGAGAAAGACGGCAGAGGGTCGGAATGAATCCAAGAACTTGTCGCTGCTGCCAGCCGCCATCTTCACACCTCAGAACACTGGAGGAAGTCACTCCATAAGGGATGAAATTCTTTTCCCTCGATAATTGCGCAGGCCGTGTCACTCACGTTCCATGGAACTAGTGAATTATTCATCATGTTTGTCAGACTCTTTTTTCCTCTGTCTTTAGCGTCCTCTCTAAGATAGATGTGTCAGGCTCGTCACTGCTGCATAATAGGCAGTTGTTAATTTCGTTGGCATGGGCACGTACTTGTGGGTTTTGTTTGTCTTCTGCGGTAAAGAAAAATCGTAGCTCTTGTTCCACATTTGACTAGGAAAACAATTATACATGATGCCGCATTTATCGGTCTAAGTGGTAATGTTGTGGTGACCTTTTCTCTTAACGTTTCATACTCTCTACTGCGTTTCGCTGAGTTGTGGTGCATTGTTTCAATGCTAGTGTTGTTTTTCCGTGAAGGGCTTCGCAATCATTCTATATCCCAAATTGTCCATAAAAGTTATATAGTCATGAACTGTTATTTCATCAAAATGTCTAATTTCCTTCTTGATGCTGCAATATGAACTGCGGCCGTAGTAGCTCAGGCACTTTCATCCGAACTTCCATATTTCTGAAAAACGATTCCCTTATGGGAACCCAAGTAGTTCTCCCGGTTGGAAGATGATATGAATTAGCAGAGATCTTGATTCCTAAATGCACGGAGTGAAAATCTGACGGGAAAGACGATACATGTTTTCCTCTCCGGCGATATTTTTCACTATTTCATCCCTCTTTCACTTATGGATGTAACACTCATCCAAATCCGAAAGGAATGTGTAGCAATTTGGACGAATAAGTCTCCAGTGGCCCTATTGCCATTAATAATAGGGATGACTTCTCCGGAGTTCACACCATAGCTTCATTCTGCTCTGTGAGAGTTTTTAATTACGAGTTCCTTCCATTTTTAAAGCAAGCCAGAAAAACCTCCCACATTCTAATAGTTTCACCGACGATTCCAGGATTCATAATTGGGACTTGTTGCAGTAACGTCCTTACATCACACTGTCGAGTGAGCCTTGGGAAAATTTGGAAAATTCATGTAAATGACGTGCATATTATGCCATTTAAATGCGTTGCACGAGCACACTTTTCACTTCGAACTTGCTCAGAAATTCAGTGAAGTCTCGGTCTGTACCGAGCTGACACGGTGAAACTGATCCACTATAATACGATTGCCTGTTGCAACAGGCATTTTCTTTATATTCATGTGAAAAAGAAGGGAGCAAGGATCAGCCTCTTCAGGCTTCCATGTTCATTATGAATTTGACATCGGGGAACTGATGGAATTTGCCCTGTCAGTCCGCGGCAACAATGGAGGCAAGCCCCACGATGAAAAAAAAATGGTCCCGCAGAACCTCCCGACTCCGAACGAATCACCTTGCCAATCGAAGTATCAAGGAAGAAAAGCAAGACGGCCCATCCACGTCCCATCTCGACGGCAGGCAGGTGAAAGACAATGCGGCATGCGAGGCCGGAAAACGTATCACGTTCTTGCCGTGCATGAGAATGTCAATATTTCTCAGACATTTCGAGTGGAAAGACGCAGACAGGAGAGGTGATGCAAAGATCAATTGGACTGCACGCAATTGACTAAAAATGATATGAAAAAGACTCCGTCGTGTCATTCTAGAAAGGATTCAACGCCTGCTAATGCACATTGAATCTTAACTTCCTCAGCGCATTGCAGCCAAGAGAAACGAAATGGCGAATTGGTAATGGTCTCGTCTTGTTTGAGTGTTCCTTCCCGAGAGCGAAGAGCT